CCCCAAATCCCCTCCAAAATCCCCTAAATCTCCCCTAAACCCCCCAAAATCCCTCGGGATCCACCCCTGGAATCCACTGGATCCCCCGGGATCCCCCAGGCTGAACGTGGACGGGCTCCTGGTGTTGCTCCAAACCCCCAAATCCCCCAAATCCTCTCAAAATCCCCTCAAAAACCCTTTCAAAAACCCCCCAAATCCCCTAAATCTCCCCTAAACCCCCCAAAATCCCTCGGGATCCACTCCTGGAATCCACCGGATCCCGCTGGATCCCGCAGGCTGAACGTGGACAGGCTCCTGGTGCTGCTCCAAACCCCAAAATTCCCCAAAATCCCCTCAAAAATCCCCTCAAAAACCCCCAAATCCTCCGAAATCCCTCGGGATCCACCCCTGGAACCCACTGGATCCCCCGGGATCCCCCAGGCTGAACGAGGACGGGCTCCTGGTGCTGTTCCAAACCCCAAAATCCTCCCAAAATCCTCCCAAATCCCCCCCAATCCTTCCCAAATCCCCTCCAAAATCCCCTAAATCTCCCCTAAACCCCCCAAATCCCTCGGGATCCACCCCTGGAATCCACCGGATCCCCCGGGATCCCGCAGGCTGAACGTGGACGGGCTCCTGGTGCTGTTCCCCTACGAGTTCATCTACCCCGAGCAGTTCTCCTACATGCTGGAGCTGAAGCGCACGCTGGACGCCAAGGTGGGATCCACCCCGGGATTCACCGAGGGGATCCACCCCGGGGATCCGCCCCGGGGATCCACCCCGGGGATCCACCCCGGGGATCCACCCCCGGCTGGGATTTGGGGGCCCGGGCTGCCGAATCCCGGGAAAGGATCCGGGAAATTGGGGGGGAAAAAGGAGATTTTGGGGCTGTTTTGGCCTCGGGATCTGCGGGGGGGATCCACCCGCGGGATCCACCCGGACCCGGGGGATCGGGCGGGATCCGCCCCCCCTGAGCGCCCCTCCCCTCCCCCCCCAGGGCCACGGGGTGCTGGAGATGCCGTCGGGCACCGGGAAAACGATCGCGCTGCTCGCCCTCATCGTCGCCTACCAGCGGGTGCGGATCCGCCGGATCCCGCCGGATCCGGGGGGATCTGGGGGATCTGGAGGGGATTTGGGGGATTTGGGGGGATCTGGAGGGGTTTTGGGGGGGATCTGGGGGGGTTTGGGGGGGATCTGGAGGGGTTTTGGGGGGGTTTGGGGGGATCTGGGGGTGGGGTTGGGGGGGGTCGGGGGGGTCCGGGGGGGGGGGGGGGGGGGGGGGGGGGGGGGGGGGGGGGGTGGGGGGGGGGGGGGGGGGGGGGGGGGGGGAGGGGGGGGGATCTGGAGGGGTTTTGCCAGGTCTGAAGGATTCTGGGGGGATCTGGGCTGATTTTGGGGGGGATCCGAGACGATCGGGGGGGATCTGGGAGGCTCCTGGTGGATCCCAGAGGCTCCGGATGGCTCCGGGGAGATCCTGGTGGATCCTGGGGTCTCCCCAACGCCCGGGCTGGATCCCAGGGCTGGATCCCGGGGCAGATCCCGGGCTGGATCCCGCTGGATCCCATCAGATCCCTCCTCCCCCCCAGGCCCACCCGCTGGAGGTCTCCAAGCTGATCTACTGCTCCCGCACCGTGCCCGAGATCCAGAAGGTCGGGGGGGGGGTCCGGGGGGTCCGGGGGGTCCCGGCGGATCCCGGCGGATCCCGGTGGATCCCTGAGGATCCCGGGGCTCCCGGCAGGTGGTGGAGGAGCTGCGGAAGCTTCTGGAAGGCTACGAGAGGGAGCTGGGCCAGCCCCTCCCCCTCCTGGCGCTGGCGCTCAGCTCCCGCAAGAACCTCTGCCTGCACCCCCAGGTGGGATCCCGGGAGATCCCATGGGATCTGGGGGGATCCAAAGGGATCTGGGGGGATCCGGGGGGATCCAAAGGGATCTGGGGCTCTGCCTGCACCCCCAGGTGGGATCCCGGGGGATCCCATGGGATCTGGGGGGATCCAAAGGGATCCGGGGGGATCTGGGGGGGGACCCGGGGCTCTGCCTGCACCCCCAGGTGGGATCCTATGGGATCTGATGGGATCCAAAGGGATCTGGGGGATCTGATGGGATCCAAAGGGATCTGGGGCTCTGCCTGCACCCCCAGGTGGGATCCCGGGGGATCCAAAGGGATCCGGGGGGATCCGGGGGGATCCAAAGGGATCCGGGGGGATCCAAAGGGATCTGGGGCTCTGCCTGCACCCCCAGGTGGGATCCCGGGGGATCCAAAGGGATCCAGGAGGATCCAAAGGGATCTGGGGCTCTGCCTGCACCCCCAGGTGGGATCCCAGGGGATCCAAAGGGATCCAAAGGGATCCGGGGGGATCTGGGGCTCTGCCTGCACCCCCAGGTGGGATCCCGGGGGATCCAAAGGGATCCGGGGGGATCTTAGGGGATCCGGGGCTCTGCCTGCACCCCCAGGTGGGATCCCAGGGGATCCAAAGGGATCCGGGGGGGATCCAAAGGGATCCGGGGGGATCCGGGGGATCCAAAGGGATCCGGGGCTCTGCCTGCACCCCCAGGTGGGATCCCATGGGATCTGAGGGGATCCAAAGGGATCCGGGGGGATCTTAGGGGATCCGGGGCTCTGACTGCACCCCCAGGTGGGATCCCAGGGATCCAGGGGGATCTGATGGGATCTTGGGGGGGGGGGGGGGGGGGGGGGGGGGGTGGTCCAGGGGGAATTTGGGATCCNGGGGGGGGGGGGGGGGGGGGTGGTCCAGGGGGAATTTGGGATCCCAGGACTGTGGGTAGATCCCAGTGGATCCCGCAGGTCTCGGCTCTCCGCTCCGGCCAGGAGGGGATCCCGCGGGGATTGGGGGATCCCAGGGGTGTCAGTGGATCCCGTCTGATCCCGGGATCCCGCAGGTGTCGGCACTGCGCTCTGGCCGGGAGGGGATCCCAGGGGGGATCCCAGGGGGATTTGGGGATCCCGGGGGATTGGGGGATCCCAGGGGGGATTGGGGATCCCAGGGCTGTCAGTGGATCCCGTCTGATCCTGGGATCCCGCAGGTGTCGGCGCTGCGCTCTGGCCGGGAGGGGATCCCGGGGGGGATCCCAGGGGGATTTGGGGATCCCGGGGGGGATTGGGGATCCCCTGGCTGTCAGTGGATCCCGGTGGATCCCGTCTGATCCCGGGATCCCGCAGGTGTCGGCGCTGCGCTCCGGCCGGGGGGGGAATCCCGGGGGATTGGGGGATCCCTGGGGGGATTGGGGGATCCCAGGGGGGATCCCAGGGGGATTGGGGATCCCAGGGGGGATTGGGGATCCCAGGGGGATTGGGGATCCCCTGGCTGTCAGTGGATCCCGGTGGATCCCGTCTGATCCCCGGATCCCGCAGGTGTCGGCGCTGCGCTCTGGCCAGGAGGGGATCCCAGGGGGGATCCCAGGGGGATTTGGGGATCCCAGGGGGGATTGGGGGATCCCGGGGGGATTTGGGGATCCCCTGGCTGTCAGTGGATCCCGGTGGATCCCGTCTGATCCCCGGATCCCGTAGGTGTCGGCGCTGCGCTCCGGCCGGGAGGGGATCCCGGGGGGGATCAGGGGGATCCCAGGGGGATTGGAGGACCCCAGGGGGGATTGGGGATCCCAGGGCTGTCGGTGGATCCCATCGGATCCCCGGATCCCGCAGGTGTCGGCGCTGCGCTCCGGCCGGGAGGTGGACAGCCGCTGCCTGGCGCTCACGGCCTCCTACCTGCGGGAGAGCCCCGGCACAGCCCGGCCCGGCTGCAGCTTCTTCCAGGTGGGATCCGGGGGGATCCCGAGGGATCCGGGGGGTCCCAGAGGGATCCGGGGGGTCCCAGTGGGATCCGGGGGGTCCCAGAGGGATCCGGGGGGTCCCAGAGGGATCCAGGGGGATCCCGAGGGATCCGGGGGGTCCCAGAGGGATC